GACGGACCCCGGCCGGTTTGGGCGCTGCGCCAGGGCCGCGCTGCGCCAGGACGATGCTGCCGGTGCTGCAGGAGTCGGTGGAGGGCGACGAGCGGGAGCTGGAGAGCAGCGAGGAGGAGCGGCGGCCCGAGCGCTGCAGCACCAGCTACTATTGCCTGTACCACTACCTGGGCTGCAGGTGAGCGGGCCGGGCACCAGGCTGGTGGCAGCGCCCCTGCCCCTGCCAGACCTAGGCTGGTGCCTCCCAAGACAGACAGAGGCCTCCTCCCGTGGGGGCTGAGCCCCCCCCGGAAGAGGCTGTCCCTTGAAAGGTGTAAAACTTTCCACATGTCCATCATCTTACCCCCCCAGCAAAAAATAATAGTGGGCGCCTGTGCCTGGTGTTATTAACGTCCTTGCTATTCTGGCCCTCCGGGGAACGCTAGAGAGAAGCCCTCTGTGTCCTGACGTCCCTGGCTTTCTCCAAAATGCCTTCAGGAGCCACCTTCACTCCCCGCCCCGTTATCTCTCTGGTCGTGCTTTGCTTCCACAATAAAATTTGTGCACGTGTTAACTGTCAGTCCTGACATGGCTTGGTTTTCAGGCCCTCGCAACAAGGAGCTGAACGTGCGGATGGGAGTCCCAGCGGTGCGACGGCAGAAACTCCGGCTGCTGAAGACTTCAGGTAAAACCAACCTTGCGGGACCACTTTAAGCACCTGCCGCTTTCTGTTCCCATGCTCGTTTGGAGCATCTGACACCGTAGTACTTGAGCAAACACTCAAAGCTGTGAGGTGGACAGTTCAGCAGGCCACAACTACACCATTACGTTCAAGCCATACTGAATTCACTTGGCCACTTTTTTTAGGTAGGTTTTTTCCTTAAATACCAGCGTGATCATGGACACGCACACACCAGAGTTCCCGAACAGGAGAGTGTTTCTGCACTGGTATATGACTGTAGTTTTTTATTCTCAATGTTTCTGTTTTCTAATACTATTAGTACTTGGCATTTAGATCTCATTTTAAGTCTTTAAATAGATATAAGCTCATTTTGGTTAATTTAATCTAATTTGAGCAGACAGCTAGCCCTGTGAAATAGACCTTATTCTTATTTTGCAAGTGGGAAAATTGAAGACACACAAGGTTAAGTGACTTAATGAAGGCTGTGGAGGGATCTGTGAGTTGGTTTTAGCACTCAAATTAGAAAACTTTAGAACTCAACAACTAGGGGACATTTCTGAGTTGCCACAGGTCTCAGAGGTCATGTTATCACTGCTAAAGACTGCACTGGGGAGCGCGACAGTGAAGCACAGTGAGCCCAACTCTGCTCATGCTACACATCCCAATCGTACACAACCATACTGTAGCACTGGGCAAGCATCACTAAGCACGCCTGAGACATATGAGCCCAGTGCTGCGTTAAGGTGGTGACCTTACATTTCTTCTGGGGTGCACAGTAAGCTGAGCAGGCAGGCTATGCTTCATCACAGTGCTTCTTCGTGTGATCCTTGATGATGTAAAATGCCATGAGTGAGTTAGTAGCAGACCTGGAAGAGATCTTCTGGGTTCCCTGCTCTGAGTATGTGATGCCTGCAGGCTGGGTGCTTTCATGCCTAGTTATGCAACTAAAGCTTTGATTATGAATCTTGTCTTGTTTTCAAGCCTCTCCTTGGTGGATACTAACTTGCCAACTGAAGCAGAGACAGAGTTGCGCAGTTTTGTTGCCAAGCGCCTTACTAAAGGAGCACTTTTTGAAGGATTGGGCAATGTTGCATCTGTGGAGCTGAGGTAAGAGTATAGTATAATATGCTTTTTTAAATTTTTGATAAATGTTAGAAGGTATAAGAAATGCCCTCAGGTTTGCTGCTATGTTTAGGTATAATCCTGATTGTAGCTGGTTTAACCCTGATCACTGCAACTCAAAATTTTCTCTGCTTAACTATTCAGTAGTAGTGGCACTTGCTGCTGTTTCCTTTAGGTGGCAGTGCAAAATAATATAAACTTTTGTTTTTAATTAAAGTATTGGTTTTGCTTGTGATCAGTGATCACACCTCCTGGGCATATAACAACAAGGGGAAGAGCTCAATATTTTATGTGCAATGGTACAGGCAGGTAATTGCTTCTTTAAGTTAATTGTATGTATGCAGCTGTGTAATGTGACTAGCCATTGCCCCTTTGCTGATGGCTTTTGTGTCTACATTCAGTTTTTCTTTTGAATCTTGTGAAAAAAGTAATTTTATTTGAAAAAATATATAAATAGAACAGGCATAGCTTCTATTTATCCCTGAGCTGTACTTCAAGTCGTGTCTACACCATGGATTTCTGTCAACATACCTGTGTCAATCAGGGGTGTGAAGAGGTGTCATCCCTGTCCTGGCACAGGCTGCTAATATAAGCCCTGTTGTATTGAGGAATATGCAGTTTTGCCAATATATCACTCATTTTGCCTGCAGTGGGTGGTGTTCCTATACTCATATAGAACACAGCTTTTCTGATGTAAAGTCAAATAGTTATCAACACTATACAGTGAACTGATACAATCACAAGGTATAACACCCTAACTTGCCACAGGTAAAGCAGAGGGACCATGGCAACCAGTGTCCTGCTGCTGCAAAGGTTGTTAAATATGCTTGCTAGATCAAAGAAAGAGGGCTATGCCTCCCCAACAGAGGAAGGCAAACCCACCCCCCTACAGTCCATACCCTATGGTCTGATTGGTAAAATTCGTTCCTGACCCCAAATCTGACCCTGAGCAGAGGGGCAAACCCTCTAGGCAGGACTGTCTGGGTTTAAATCTCATTAGGAGCACTGGCATATGCCAGTCAAAATCTCCAGCCTTGGCTGCAGCCAACACCCAATGCTTCTGAGAGTGACTGAAAAAATTCTTGACACATGTAGCAGCAGGAGAAAAAAAAATTAAGGTCAGGACAGAAGCCTTTAAAGGGAGGGAGGGATAGTGTACAGAATCAGTACATCACTAAAACTGTACTGATTAAGCTAAAAAACCTGTATAGGTTCTAAAGTTGATTCTTAAATCATTGTCTGCTGATTCACAAAGGGCCAAAACTTACCCAAGGGTTCAGTATAGGTCAGGGTTGTTGGTTGTAGCCATGTTGGTCTGAAGACCTAGGCAGGCAAGGTTCTTTGGGTAAATGTGACATCTGCTGTTAGACAAACTAAATAGTTGGAAAAAATTGTTCTTTGTAAGCTTTCAGGTACAAACACCCTTCTCTCCCTGTGCCCGAAGAAGGGTGTTTGTACATGAAAGCTTGCAAAGAACAATTTTTCCAACTATGTAGTTTACTATTCTGCTGTGCACATCACATCACGGCAAAAACCATGCTAATGCACTAATGCGCAGTAGGATTAGTCTACTGAGCATTAAGTATTAGTCAATGTAAGTCAGTGCAGCTGGGATCTCACCAATGATTTGAGTAGGATCAAGCTATCACCTGTGGTCAGTGGCAGGTTATCTTACTGTATGAGATGTAGGATAAGACTTTCTTTTTTTAAAGCAATTATTTGACACCTCTCCCTGCAACAGATTCAGGTTTTTTTTTTTCCTTTATCTCTAGTATACCTGAAGTCAAAGCTGGTTGTTATTACTGCCTTCTCCAACAAGAAAAGCTGCTAGAAGCAGCAACATTGGAATCAAACATCAACTCCCCTGAGTATGTGATTTGTTTCTTAGGAGGCTCAGAGAAGGGCCTTGAACTATATCCTTTCCTTAACCTTTCCTTATTTGGGGGGGAGGGGGGGGGGGGAAAATAGCAAGTAGCAAGTTTGCTCCTCCTAACCTTGAAGCCTTTCCCACCTCTCCTGTCACCTTCTTGAATTCCTTCAGACTACTGGTCTCCTTTCAACTGCCAGAGTGTAACTGAGAATATGATTAATGACTGTGTACTGAAAGGGCAAAGCACAAATCTTAGTTAACATATCTTATTTCCTTAAGAAGATACTTTCAGACTTGAGTTGGACAAGTATGTGCAAGACCTGAAGATTAACCTTGATGCAGAGGTAAGATCTAATCCTAACTGATCTTTTCATTTTAATGGCTAGGATGACATGTCTGTCCAGTGAAATAGGTTAAGCATACAGCGGTATTAACTGCATAAGTTAAACCAAAAAAATAGAAATTGTTATGGCCATGGGGTCATGCATAGCAGTAGCAGGCCAATTAAGAGAGAAGGGGCACATCTGCACCTTTGCTACTGCTCATTAAGTTTAGTAGCTCTAATATGAGGTACTACATAAAGGCACATTAGCCTGTTCTGATGTGCAGTAGCAAAAGTGAACATTTTTTTTGTGACACTTAATGCTCAGTAGACTAATTCTATTGTGCATTAGCATGGTTTTTGCTGTGATGCACTAATGCGCAGTAGAATAGTCTACTGCACATTATGGTGTCTTGTATAGATGCGCCTAAGTATGAGTAAATTGACTAAATTCCTTTAGGAAATTATGATGACATATGGGAAGATTTAGTAGCAACCACTCAAGTCCCTTGATTGTTATGTAAGCAACAATGATGATTATTTTTCTCCTTGTAACAAAGTTAAAAAAAATTAGGTAGAACCCTTACTCCTCCCAATCTCCTGCACTGTCCTCTGTGTTATGCTGTCTATCCAATACATTTCATCAAACATTATAAACATGTTTTCTTTCAAATATAAAACCTTACAGAGCTAGTGTTTTACATCAATAAGGTGGATAACACCAAACTAATGATTTTAGCCCTTTCTTGTTTGAAACTGGAAAATTTTAGCTTCCGAACTGCATAGTTACAGGGGTGTATGTTGTAGCCGTGTTGGTCTAAGGATGTAGGCAGACAAGGTTCTCTGGGTGAATCTGATACCTTCTTTAGACCAAATTAAGTAGCTGGAAAAATTTGTTGGTAAGCTTTCAGGCTTAAAAACCTGAAAGCTTGCTAAGAAAAATGTTTCCAACTACTTAAATTGGCCTAATAAAAGAACTACATTGTTTTAATAGGCGAGTAGAACACACTTTTTTTTTTCCTGCAGGACTCAAATTCATAGTTTTAATGTTTCAATTACCTACAGCAAAGTAACCTGGAGACATGTGTAACACCCTACCTGAGAAGCTGGTTTGAGGATTGTGTGTGCCCCATACAGAGGGTAGTACAGCTCTTCCAGGAGAAACTTGCCTTTTTGTTACATACTGTAAGTATGCAGCAAACCAGACTGTCTGCTGAGCTCTTTCTAGCCACATTATTTTGCTTTAAATGTTTCTTGCATTTGGTTTTCAAAATGCCCCCCTCCCACTCCTTATTCAGTGCATTTTCTTTCCACTGTATCTCTAAGACGGTGCCAGCTATATTATCCATCAATTAGAGGTGAACAACATTTTAAAATTATTTTTTAGAGCTAACTGATTTTTAAATTGCTTTGTATTGTTCAACTGGTAATTAGAATGAGATAAGCAATAAAAATTCCATTTGGCTAAGACGGAACAGGACATGAGCAGCTATGTGGCTCATACAATTCACTGCAGAAGGATGCCAGAAACAAAAATACCAGATTAGTCATCTATAGCTAAGCACTGAATAAGAGAAAGATGCAAGCAAAGTGGTTAATAAAACTACAAATCCAGTGTATTTTTCAGAATGTGAAAGCAGTTGTACTGAATAAAATATGGGGCATTTAGCTAGCTTGTAATACTTCCTAGTTTATTAGGAAAAGAACTTTAAAAGGAACTGATGCTCTCCTAGTTAACAGTAGCAATAACAAAGTTGTTATCCTCAAGCAACAATAGCCAACTGCAATCAAATTATATCTTTTTTTCCTAAAGGCTTTGAGTTACATGCCTGTTGAAGTTAAGGATTCAGATGAAAGAACAAAGAAAGATATTAACAGGTACAAAATGTCTGAGACAATACAGCCCATAATGAGTGGCACAGCCTTTTCCTGGCCTTGTGGTTCAGGTGGCATGTAGAAACGAGCAGCTAACAAGAATTTTATGCATCAGGTTTCTGAGTGCTGCTAGTCTCCAAGGTCTTGTTCAGGAAAGCACGATGACCTCCTTGTGTATCGCTATGACGGAGGAACAGCACAAGTCGGTGGTGATAGACTTTAGTGGACCACAGCTTCAGTTCTATAATGCAGGTGAGATTATGGTTCCAGCTTCACCCCAAATGAGCCTGGCACCCTGAAGTGCAGGGTCTCTAGCAGGGAGATAAAATCGGCAGTGCAGCTTTCAAGGAGGGTGTTGAAAAGCTGTGGAGGTCTGGGTGGGGTTGGGGAGAGTGTCCCCCAGAGCAGGCAGTCTCTTGGAAACCACAAGCGGCCTGTTGGGATACCTGGCAACCCCTCCACTCCTTCGTGGAAGGCATGATGGTCTGAAAACTCTACCACCCCCAGTTGCATTTTGGCAGCAGTGCAGTCCCTAAAATGTGATGGGTTTTACTTAAAGAAACAGAGTAGGTGTGAACACTTCTGTCCAGGGACAATTGTGAACTGGTTCCCAATTAGTGACCTGGACCAGTTCAAGTGTTATGTCTGTCTACCCTCTTTGGGTCTGGAATGTGCTCAGTCTTAAGGTCCATCAAGACTCATATTGGTTAACTTCAGACCAAGCTGCAAAACACATTTTTTCATCTAACTTGTGATCAGTTTTGCAAAAAGTGATGTAGATGGTTCAATAGTTCTTATTTGCAGGAAGCATTTTATGTGGATTGTGTTGCGTTTTTTATCTTGTTTGTATATTTTAAATATCATGTAGTATCAAAACAATATAACTGGAGCTATGGAATAGATGCTGTAAAGAAACTGAAAAATAATACTTTTTCATATTGTTTGTTTATATAATACATGCTGTACAGCAAGAACAGCCGCTGGGATGTTACATTTGTGAGGGGTCAAGTACATAGTCATTATGCAGTGCTCATACATATTTTCCCTTCTTCCTCTTGTTTTCCTCAACAGGAAGCAATAAATTCTGTGAAGACTGGATGCAGGCTTTTATAAATGGTCCTGAAGGTGGAAATCCATTTCTCTTATGGCAAATACTAGAGAACTTTAAACTGAAGGTAACTGTTGACACTTGTAGAAGTTTGAGACAGCACTGTTACTTAGCAACAGCATATTTGCTTTTGCATTAAAGAAAAGCACTTAACTATGAAGTTTAATTTTAAGGTGGCACCTGCCTAGCTGTTCCTACAGTATTTGGAGTTAACAAGAATATTACACTCTCCAAAGGAGACTTGCACACAGATTTAGATGCAAACTTTTTTCTTTTTCTTAAAGCAGTCAAACTGATCTTTTTTTTTTTTTTAAATTACAGTAGTAACTCCAATCAAGAATTATAGCCAATGATATATTTACTCTTCTAAATTACAGTATGAAATTCTTATTACAACCCCTTTCACTTTTCCAAAGGATGGATTAGTTGCTTTCCCTACAAGGAAGCTGATTTAAGACCGTTCCGTATTACTGTCTTTTTTCTAGGCTATACAAGACATTAACAACCTGAAGAGGTTTATCCGCCAGGCAGAAATGAACCATTATGCCTTGTTTAAGTGTTACATGTTCCTGAAGAACTGTGGCAGTGGAGACGTCCTTCTGAAAATTGTTAAAGTAGAGCATGCAGAAATGCCAGAAGCCAAAAATGTAGTAACTGTCCTTGAGGAATTCATGAGGGAAACAGCAGTAGCCTAAAACATTTTAGTTTCTATGTTCATTTTGGACTATTTGTATATAAATAATTAATTTCTTCCTTTGGAGCTAAGAGTAGCTGGTACATAAACTTAAATGATATCTGAAAGCTGTCAGTCATTTCAAACTTACTTCATATGTGGGTCTGTTTACATTTCATCTTTTAAGAAAAAGCAGTATGATATTTGTTTTAAGTTTTGAATATTGTGTACTGTGAAAAGGTAATCAGTCATTTTTAACACCTGCCTTATCTTACTCTGGAGGGGACCATACACTGCATGCATGTGCGTGTATTTTTTTCATATGAAATGCTATTTAAGAAAGAAAAGAAAAAGTCATTTGCACGACCAGCTGTGTTTAGGCCTTTAGAAAAGCTTGAATGTAGCAGTAGTAAAAATAATCATGGCTTAACACTGGAATCAGATTTAGAAATCATATGTGTAAAGAACTACAAACATTTGGAGGAATTGTATAGTAAATTAATTGAACTTATAGGCTTAGGCTCTAGTTTTCATGTCCTTAAAAAATAAAGAAGAAAGGCTGTGCTTCTTACTAGTTTAACAATTTGATTATGCTTGTAGATTTGTCCTAAGACTGAACTAAGTGTTTAAATACTTGTGGACTTGAATGGTTGGTTGTAGTGGTGAATTGGGCCTGAAGATGTTATAGGCATAACTTGAATCTTTGAGGGCTTTTTCATAAGTTGAATAAAGCCAAGTTCCTAGATCAGTGTTCTGTTTGAAAATGCGTCATTGCACTTGACTAGTGAATTCTTCTACACTTCATGTAAATACATTTTCTAAACCACAGATAGCAGTCTGAAAAATATCTACACCACTTTGATACAACATGAGCCAAAACTAAGACCTTTCTAAGCATTATATAGGAAAAGACTATTTATGCATCCTAATGTACTCCTGTTGATTTCAGTTTGTCTAGGTAGGGAGTGCAGCCTTCAGAGCATGATGTATTTTATTGTCCTAACTTGATGCTCAGGATATAGACAGATGATCAAAAGGCAAGTCGTGGTGGGGAGGGTGCAGCTGATGCATGTTAACTGTCCAGCTGCTCATTCTTTCCTGTGGCAGTTGAAATCTCAACTGGGGCACTTACTTGGTACAGTTTGATCATTTGTCCATGCCCTGTTCCATCAGTTAAGTCTCCAACGCTAACTGTATGTGTAATAGTGTTACCAGAATGTTAAGTGTGATTGTTGTTTGGTTTGAGAACAGTATGCATCACATTAAAGGTACTTAATTTCCTTTAAGCAACATTTTCAGTAAAATAAAACTGCTGCTGTAGCATTGTGTTTTATTCTTTAATCCAAGAATTGTCAGTGACAAATGACTCAGCAGAAGTTACTAGAGCATCTTATTCTCCCAGCAGTACTTGAAAGACTTACCCCTGTAAAACCATTGTCTGGATGGGTGCTGTGCACTGGTAGAAAGAGAAAACAAGGTAAAATGTTGCCATGTCACAGTATAGGCTGAGTGCAGGTTTGCTGAGGACTAATAATGTTTTCCCACAAAATGTTTTATTCATGAGTCAGTAAAGCAACACCAGCAGCATTCAATAACCTGGCTTGCTTTTTGTCATTTCTATAAATTTTTAACTAATTTGGCAGACCAATCCTCAGTGCTTTGCCAGGTAGAGACACAGGGAAGCTTTCCATGCTAAGAAATGAGTAATCATCCTGAAGAACGGAGAGTTGTTTCTAATGCTTGATATAAGATACTAATTTTCAGAGCAAGAATCTTTTAGTTGCCAGGGGACAAGTGTAGTATTGGAGTGAGAAATCAAGTTGGAAATGACCTCCTGTTCCTCTTCCAGGACTGGGTGAAGAGCTGGGGTTGGAACTCCAGAAGGGCCCTGAGTGCCATGTCTTAAGGCATTGCATAGCAGCATCCCAAAGCCAGGGTAGTTTTCTGGCTCCAGCCACCCGTTCCACTCTGATGTGGCGAAGAATATCCCTCTCCAATCAAAGATCAGTATCCTGGATGAGAAGAATTGTATGAGAGCACTTTATACTCAGCATTCCCTATTCTAACAGTAAATACAAGTGAAATAGAAGGCCCTCCTTCAAGGTAGAGTTACTACTATGCCTAGGAAATGTTCTCTTTAACTTCCTTTCGTTGCCTCAGGCCCCAGAATACCTGTACTTTGCTGGCTGAGCAGGACTTCATCCTCAACTGCTTCCTTGTGTGGCAGGTCTTTCTCTTGGAGACTAATAATTGAAAGGAGCTAAAGGTACCCTGGGCTGTCTTGGCACCCTGCTTGAGAACCACTGCCTTAGAGAGAGATCTGTATCTTGGTTAGGCCTTTCCTCCCTGAGCGCGTGCTTCCTATCAACTTGAGTCCTATTACATTGGTATCTCATAGGGAGCTATGCAAGTAGCTGTCTTTGTGCTGGGCTCCAGCCTGAAATTATCAGATGTGGCACATAAGGTAAATTTTTGTGTCTGTTCCTACTTTGACCCGTTTCTTTCTGAATTGCTCCATGGTTGACCAGCATTTTGAAAAATCCTCTTCCTCCTTAGCCTTGCTCCATTTCAGGGTGTTTTTGTTTTTAGCAGCTCTATTGTGACTTAAGCCATTCAGGTGCACAAATAAAACCACCATATAATACCTGCAAACAGGGCATTTGTCAGTGGGGCTAGTAACCCTTAGCATTTTCCCTTTCTAAATGCTATTTTAAAAGAAATAGAAATGAAATACAAAATAATGCAGGAGAAAATGGTTACATTGTATTTTTCAAGGAGTGATCAGGCATTCATAGTGAATGATTTTTCAGTAGTTAAATATTGTAGTAACATATATAAAAATTAACATCCATGTATGGAACTGGAGTGGATAGAAACTGGGTTTGCAAGACTTTTACTGGAATTTTAAGGGTCCAGCTGAAACTTCTCGGAGCAAATAAGGTATAAGACACCCTTACATCCTCCACATACCCAATGCAGAATTAGGAATAAACAGGGTGTTTTAAGAGTGAGATTGTCCTTACATTACAAAAGGAAGCTAGCACAAAGTCATTCAGTATTTCTTTTCCCAGTGCTTACAGGCTAGATGTATTACACAGCAGGAAACTGGGTGCTACAGTGATGTAAATTATGTTATGATCAAGGGGTTAGTGCAGAGAACTGGGAGTCTGACCTCCTGGGTTTTTTCTATGGTTCTGCCATAGATATGTTGGAAGAACTCAAAAACTTCTCCACTTTGGCTGCCCCATGTACAATTATTTCAAATGCTATATGCATGTATGGTTTTCTACCAACAAATAACAAAGCATTGAACATTTAAAATTAATAGTAATACTTACCTACTTCTCAAAAATGTATCTGGGCTTCATAAGTTTTTGCTTAAAGAACCCTGAGTCTCAGGTGAAAGAGGCCTTACCTTAAGTGAAAACCATTAAGAAGAGAAGTGTTTAATATCCATGTAGTAGCAATGACCTGTCACTCACTACATAGTAATGACAATGACAAGAGGTATCAAAAAAGCCTAAAAACTGCCATTGTTTATGTTTAATTTATTAGTGATTTTTTTAATGTAACAGTTCTTAATGGCAACCTGCCAAAGAGGTTTTCAAGTTTGAAATTTGTCTATTTTTGCTTCATATTGTGTTGCCTAAAGAAGGTTGAGTTCTTAAAAATATTTTTAATTTTAGCAAATACCATATTCAATGGGCAGTGGGTAGCAAATCTTGAGCAAATATGTTTCTCTTCAGCATTCACTAGAAATTGGTGTTAAATACAAGTTACTAAAAATGACCAAAACAAATCATTTTAAATTTGAACAGTCTTGCAGTCTCTTTGAGATGATTCTCAGTTGTTCAGCCTGTAACCGCCTGTTCTGCATTCATAATTTCACTGGTGCTTTAGTTTTCCAGTAGTGTACAAGATCTGAATGTTTAATGTAAAAAAGCCCTACACAGATTATACATGTTTGTACCCCAGAAAGAAAAAAAAAAAGGAACAGAAGCCCCAGTTTTTCCCTTTCATCAGACACTAAGAAGGAGCAGCAAAATTAATTCAATGATTAGGTGGCAAAGTTCAAAATCAAATCACTCCCATTCTTATTCATTATTTAATTATAGACATACTTATAAAATACAATCCACCTTTGCAAGGGGGGTTTCTTTTTTCTTTTTTAGGCATGTTACATTAACCAGCTTGATTTGAACCAAAAAACCTCAACAAAAACCTTTAATGGACTGTGCTCAAATAATATTTGTTTCAACAAAAATATACAGGACGTACACAATACAAAAATATATGGAAACAGATATCAGCGCATTACCTTGCAATTGTCATTTTGTTCCCCTAGCCCTTGATGGGAAAGCAACATTTGTTTAGCATTTTTAAGGCAAATAATTCCATTGTTCGGTGCTCTATGGCTAACACCCGGAGGTGTTGTTAACATTAATGGGGGAAGCAAAAGCAAATCAAACTGCATCAATCTTTATTTGCAAACTAAACAGACACTGTGGGGGAGTTGGGACACACTCAGTGACTAATGTATCTATTAAACTCCTTGGAAACTAATGAATTTTTGCTGCATAAATCAGGTTTGTGGAATTTGTCATGTTCTGTGTTGTAAAGTGCTCGGTAATATAAATTTTCTGTTCTGTGATCTGACATTTTAAAGAACCTCATTAAGAACCTTTTTCCAATTAAAAACCAATGATTAATGATGACATTAAATATACATTTACCTTCAAACCAGTTTGTTTTTGCTTTGCATGCGATTATTCCTTTATAGAACAGTCGACTATATTGCCTTCATTTTCAACAAGCTCAGAATCTCCAGGCCTGTGCTATGCAGGTTAACAGTACTTTGCATTAGGACTTTTTAAGCTATGCTGCCCAGTACCCTAGGGCTGCCACTGTTTTAAAAGAATGACAATAACATAAAGAAAGAGCCCAGAACCAGGACCAGACCCTTTTATGTGCTGGCTTTCAGATCACTAGGCTTATGGTGTTGGTTCTGGGTTGGGTGAAGACTTTCCAGTTACAATTCCAGTTCAGTAAAAAGGTGGGACTTTCAAAGTCACTTGAGTGAGTTAAGAGCTCAGGTTTCATTGTAAATCAATGGCACTTGTGCTTCTAACTCCCTTAGGTACTTTCAGAAATCCTACTTCAAAGTCTTGCGAGATCACATGTTGGCACAAAGTAGTGAAAGTGTTGCGAGTTTGGTCAGCTGACCTCGTGAGATGGCGGCTGGTTTGGTATTAAGTTTTACTGGTGTGTAGGAGTTCATCTGTCATATATAAGTTAAAATCCAACTTTTCCAGTCTTTTTTTTTTTTTTAAAAAAAGGGGTCAGGTAGATCCACAGGACACAGCATAGTCCTGGGATACAGGATCCCTGAGTTCTAGTCCCAGTTCTGACCATGTCTTGCTTAGTCACCGTGGACACATTATACCTACCCTGGCCTCAGTTTCTACACTAATAAAATAGGATAAAATATGTATGTGCCACAACATAAGTGAAGATTCATAAATGTGTATTATGTGCTCTGTGTGAAACAGTATTATTGACTGATGGGAAGAAAGACATTAGATGCTGACCCATCAAAAATTCAGTACAAGTTAATTCAACAAGTCTCTCCCTCTTCTGTTGTAAACCACGTTTAGAGGTTATTTCTAGTGACATCATCTCCAATCACTCCCCAGAGGCCCATCTTCGTTTATTATTACCAATGAGTGCAAAACAAGCAAACCAAAAAATCTCTGGACCCAAGAATCGAGGATCAAGATCATTTGCTGACAATATACTCCTTGGTCCTGGAGTTTGCAGGTATCCATCATTCTGGGTGGCTGTTCTTTGCCACTCTTCAGCTTTATTTTCCTCTGGTGAAGAAGCCGTTAGCATAATGCTGCATAAGACCAGCAGCTGTTGGCCAGCAGATGTCCCTCGAGGAGCAGTACAACCAGCATCCTTAGTTTCATGCCTCTTACCATAAACTTGATGCTGGCCAGCCCTGTACTGTAGCTGTACTGCAGTCCACTGTGAAATGAAAGTACAGCATGGAAACAGCTCTTCCAGGTTCCAGCCATCTCCTTTCACCCTGCAAAATCTGCCGAAGGATACTAAGCATAGGAGGAAATTTGCTCTAATATATGGTGAATCTGATCATTAGCTTCCAATCTTTATGTTGATTATAGCAATCCCTCTCTTTCTCTCTGCCGTTAAGTATCTGTAAGGTTCAATAGAGTCACATTTTGTTCAGCTGTACAATGTGAAATTCTGGCAGCAGATGAAATAATAAAACAAAAATCAATTCACTATGTAAATTGCTC